CCGCAGGCGGTGCTGCGAAGCCGGCAGAGCCCCGCGTCACACCTTACTGCTCCCTGAGATTGCTCCACAGAGAGCTCAAGGAGATGGCAATTCGGCGCTGATGCCGGCTGGCAGCAGTTGGAAGAGGGGAAGGAGAAGAGAGAGGGAGGAGGGGAGGGGGGAAAAAGTTGGCACGGATACCAAGTTTTTCCCTAGAGAGATGGGGGGGCAGGGAGAGAGAGAAGAAGAAAATGACACAGAGAAAAGGAAACGAGGAAAAAGAGGCAGAGTGAGGCAGCGAGCGAGCGAGAGACTATGAATTAAGTTCTCTCAGACATCCACACGTGGGCATCGCAGCCCCCCTGACTCATGACCCTCTAAACATCACAGCACTCTGTTGGCCTTCCCGCCCTCCCACCCCCACCCACACACACACCACCAGCCAACCTGGAAGTCAAGAGCAGCCCAGGCATGTTGTGTGTATTTGTGTGTGTGTGCGTGTGCGTGTGTGTGTATACGCCTGTATGTTGTCTCTGTTTTGGATCGCAGTAGAATGCAGTATGTAAATGAGATGGTTATTACCGCAATGTTCATCAAGCTGAGCCGAGAAGACATTAATAGCCTGATGAATATGCATGTGAATTTGTTAATTAAGTTAATTATTCTGCTGAAAATGCATTCGTCTTCCAAGGACATTTTCCCAATGATTTTTACATGCTCTAGCCATTAGTCATGCTATATTTTATCAGGGAAATGAGTTTGCTTAAGTTGTAAAAAAAAGAAAGAGCGAGAGAGAGAGAAGAGACAGACAGACAGAACTAAGGGGATAAAATGAAAGGAAAATGCATGGAAGTTGAGAGTGGGGAAGCATCTGAGGCTGGCCTGAAGTTTGAGGCCCAGCTGGGCTTTTGAAGCCTGCCCTCGATTTTTATGGGTACCTCACTCTACAATTTTTTGCCCTTTTTTTGATGACAAACTTTTTTTTCCAGTGCCAAATTTCCAACACATTAATTAATTGTTGTAGCCAATTAACTGTAGTTGTGCAAATGAGTTTAGCACTAATTACCATGCAGTGCCTGTAATCACATAAAAAACTTGCTGAGAGAGAGAGAGAAGAGAAAGGAGGAATGGGACGGGAGTGGTGGCAGGAGAGGAGGGGACCTGGCACAGAGGAGCAGCCAAGGAAAGGGAGCACCCAAGGGCAGGGGTCCTGCGTTCCTCAGCCAGGAGACATCTTGGCTGCGAGGGAAGGTCGCTGTGTTCCCAGCCACCTTCAGGACCTGTGAGAGCCAGGGAATCTCTGTGCAGTGAGGAGGGCACAGGCCAGTTGAAAACAGTCCCCGTTCGTCTAGGAGCTCCCAGCCAGAGACATAGGCTCAGAATGGTTTTCTGTGTGCTTCAGTGATGCAGAGCGGCCCCTCTACAATTCCTGTAACGCACACCCCAGGTGTCAGCCTCTGTGTGTCTCCCTCCAGGCTGGAATTACTGGCTAGGGTTAGTGGTGCCACTGGAAGGTAAGTTGTTCCTGATGGGCTGTAAGTAATTGGGGAAGGCTGTGAGGAGGATACAGCTACTGGAATAGGCCAAGGAAGCAATGGTAACATCAACCAGAAAAGAGCCCAGCTCAGCCAGAGGAGGGCTACAGTGCCCAGGAGAGGAGTCAAGCCCCTCTCCTGCAAGTTGACGTCTCCACCATCCATCGCATCTAGGCCAACACTAGGCTCCTACTTGTCAGCCTCCACCAGTAGTACCCAGAGGGTGAGGGACACACGAGGTAACTTCTCCTGGGTTGGCGTCCCTGTGACTTCAGCTGGAGGGGAAGAGCAGTGGTAAGATCAGAACTAAGCACTGGATGGCCTCTTGCTTCTACTCTGCGTGCCCACTCTCTACGATGAACAAGACACTGATCCTACCCATAGGGTGTGTGTATAGTTCCCCTGTTCACAAAAACAGAAAGTGTGGGAAAGCTCACTTGTCATGGGCCTGTTTCCTCAGACCTCAGAGACACATTCAACTTCCTATTTCCAAGGAGGACCTGATGCAGTCATTCTCTGATAGACCTCCAAAGACTGGCTCCTCCCTTCCCCATTCCAGCTCTCAGGTCTACGGAGAAGCTCAAGGGCTCCATCCACGTCAGCCTTGCTCTTCTCTGACAAAGGGGAACGACTACAAGGGCGCATGCCATGTTGCTTCCTGTTCCATGACTCTGCTGCTCCTCTAACCTATGAACCAAAGTTGCCTGTTGGACCTGAGTCGACCCCGGCTGCTCCAGTGCTCTCCCAGCCTCCAACATCTCTCTGCCAGGACCACCCACACCCTCTTCCCAGCAGGCTGAGTCAGTGTAGAAAGGCCTCTTGTCTGGTATCTTGAATTCCAAGCTCTTCTTTGCTACTTCATAGTCTGTGATCTTGGGAAAACTACTTATTGTGAGCCTCAATTTTCCTCATCTATAATGTGGAGAAAATAGTAGTGGTATGCCCAAAGGGTTATGAAGTTTAGTAAGTATGAATATAAAGCATTCAGCAAACCAAATGAAATGAACTATTTCATTCATTACTAGCGAGAAAAAAGTAGTCATAGAACCTTGCTGATGGACAACCTGGTGATGCTAACGAATGTCTGTTTCCCACAAAAATCTGTACATGAACGTTCACAGCAGCTTTATTTGTAATAGCCCCCCCCCCAAAAAAAAAAAAAACTGGAATCATGGAATTATGCCTTTTAACAAGTTAACGGTTAAATGAACTTGGTACATCAATATCATGAAGTAAGTGTAAGGAATGAACTATTGATACACACAAAAATTTGGATGGATTTCCAGGAAATTAATGATGTATCCCTAAAAAACTGCACACATGATTCCATTTTTGAAATGACTAAAGTTTTGAAAATGAAGATAGACTAATGGTGCCAAGGATTAAGGGAGGGTGAGGTGGACAGGAGGGAGGTAGGTGTGATTATAGAAGGGCACTACTAGGAACCCTTATGGCACCTTACACTTACTTCGTGGTACCACCCCCAACCTAAGCACAAGAAAACTAGAGGAATCCAGTGTGTTATATCAATGTCAGTAATCTGGTAGTGATATTGTACTCTAGTTTTGCAAAATGCTACCATTCTGTGAAAGTGATCAAATGTAAAAGAGATTCTGTATTATTTCTGACAATTACATGTGAATCTGCAATTATCTTGATTGTTTAAAAGCCTATGACAGAGGCCGGCGCCGCGGCTCACTAGGCTAATCCTCCGCCTAGCGGCGCCGGCACACCGGGTTCTAGTCCCAGTCGGGGCGCCGGATTTTGTCCCGGTTGCCCCTCTTCGAGGCCAGCTCTCTGCTGTGGCCAGGGAGTGCAGTGGAGGATGGCCCAGGTGCTTGGGCTCTGCACCCCATGGGAGACCAGGATAAGTACCTGGCTCCTGCCTTTGGATCAGCGCGGTGTGCCGGCCGCAGCGCGCCGGCCGCGGCGGCCATTGGAGGGTGAACCAACAGCAAAGGAAGACCTTTCTCTCTGTCTCTCTCTCTCTCTCTCTCACTGTCCACTCTGCCTGTCAAAAAAAAAAAAAAAAAAAAGCCTATGACAAATTATTAATGTCTCTGCTGGGTCCAAGGGGCTACCCTGGTGTTTCCAAAGTAGAATCCCAAAGAGGTAGATTAATAAATATTATTAATTAGGATATAACAATAAAATGATCATAACCATGGGATAGAGGGTATTGTGTCTTTTGACTTAGTAAATTCCATTTCTTGGAATGTCCTATTAAAAATACTTGAATGTTTGTGTTCTGATATTCACTGTGGTATTATTTATAGAGTAAAAATATCTAAACAATTAAAATAAGGGATGAGTCTTATGAGTCACAGCATGTCTAGGTGATAAAATACTCTATACTTTAAATATACTTTAAAAACTACAGTCAGCACGCTATCTGGCATCACAGTTGCATTGTGGCACAGTGGGTTAAGCTGCTCCTGCAACGCTGGCATCAGTGTGAGTACTGGTTCTAGTCCTGGCTGTTTCACTTTCAATCCGGTTCCCTGCTGATAAGCCTGGGAAGGCGGCAGAGGGTGGCCCGTCTCCCTGGGCCTCTGTATCCACGTGGAGACCTGGATGCAGCCTGGCCTAGCCCTAACCATTGTGGCCATTTGGGGAATGAACCAGCACACAGAAAATTCTCTCTCTCTCTAACTCTGCCTTTCAAATAAATACATAGATCATTTTTTAAAAAATGCCTGGCACTTAGTAGACAACCAACAAATGGAGTTCTGTCTTTTGGGCATCAAAAGAGCTAACACACGTGAATGTATCTGACAAATGGTAAAGTGCGTGCTAGCTGCAAGTTGTTGCTATCCTTTGAACAGCTCTCGCTCAGCTCCACCCTGGATGAAACAGTACTTCCACACAGAATAGCAGCTCAGATGCTACTGACTTGAGAGTTGTGAGAAAGGGGGAACTGGTTTCTTGGGGAGTCTGAACAAAGGCATTGGGACCACTTGCTTCCAGGGGACTACGGCTCCCATGCTACATCATGACGAAAACTCTGGGCCTTCTCCCCGGCATATGCACATTCACACATTTGACCTACAGTTGCAGAAGGATCCTGGGGCCCTGGAAGCAATATCAGTCCTGCTGCCCCCAAAAGTAATAGTGCCATCCACCGCATCAGCCACTGTTGACGGAGCACCTGCTGAGCATCAGGCCCTGTCCCGGGGCTCCACAGGCATCTTTTCCAGAAGTTCTCGCAACCTTAAGAGGTAGTTGTTTATCTGCATTTCACAGACAAGGAAATTGGGACTTCAAATGGTTGAGTGCATTACCCAGGTGACACAGCTGGTAAGTCGCAGAGCTGGCACTGGACCCCAGGGCTGTCTGCCTCCGAAACCTGTGACCTAACGGCATTCAGGACTGGGGAGGGTGCTGCACGGGGAGGCTTGGAGAAGTAACCCTGCTCTCCCAATGCTCAGCAGGCACAGACTTCAACCCAGGGCAGGCAGAAGAAAAATCTGAGGAGAAGTAGACATATATTTTTTAAGATTTTTATTTATTTATTTGAGAGGTAGAATTACAGAAAGTGAGAGGGAGAGGCAGAGAGAGGTCTTCCTTCCGTTGGTTCACAACCCCCCCCCCCCCCAGATGGCTGCAACGGCCAGAGCTGCGCCGATCCGAAGCCAGGAGCCAGGAGCTTCTTCCCAGTCTCCCACGTGGGTGCAGGGGCCCAAGCACTTGGGCCATCTTCTACTGCCTTCCCAGGCCACAGCAGAGAGCTGGACTGGAAGAGGCACAGCTGGGACTAGAACCAGTGCCCATATGGGATGCTGGCACCGCAGGCGGAGGATTAACCTAGTGCGCCATGGTGCCGGCCCCCAGTAGACGCATTTTGAAGTCTTTCATCCCAGGGGTCAGTTTTTCCAGGTGTCTAATCTCTGTCCTTTCTGCTACACTCTAAGCCCTTTTCCTCTCTTCTGTTTCCAGCAAGGATGGTGGAGTGATGACAGTGTCCCTCCACAGAAGGTCCTGGGTCAAGACGAGAGAGAGGCTTCTCTTTCCCCATCGTGGAGGCCATGCCTGGGTCTGCCTCATTATGTCAAACCAAGACGTGCATGGCAAAATGGAGCAGGAAAGGCAAGCAGAGAGGAGCGGCCTAACTGGACTAAGACGTCCAGCCTGGAGAAGGGCCTGAGAGTCTCAAGACCTCAGTGCTGGGCTCAGGCCTGGGCTCAGGTGGAGTTTCTTCCTCCAGGCTGAGCGCAGGCTTGTCTGGCATTGACCTGGCTGCGGTGGTCCGGCCTGCATTTCTCAAGCCAGGCCTCTTGCTTGTCTCACTGGGTGCTGTCTCTAGAGCTGCCTCTCTCAGACAGAAAGGAAGAGGCCAGGCCTCTGCCACTCCGAATTCATCCCCTCCATTTCAATATTACCTAAGGTCCAGACAACCTGACCAGGTGCTTAGAGATGTCCAGGGAAGGGAATAATTTTGTGGGAAATATGCTGGGATCTTAAGGCTAGGTCCAAAGATCTTTCCTCTTTTTTCACGTAACAGATAGGAGGGCAACTGGGGCCTGAAACTGGACACACAAAATGGAGGGACAGTGTCACATCTCTCTCCCGCCTCCATAAGTTATTCCACCTGCTGGGGCCCAACATGCCCATTACTCTTTGGCTTCCCTTGGCCCATCTACCCTATGGGCAGGAGAGGGTTAAAGGCATAGTATGGGCAAGCTATAAATTTCCCATCAGTGTAGGGAGAGCAGGATTGTTGGCAAGGAGGGGGTTGGGCTGGGGGGGGGGGGAGGGGGAGCTGGGAAAAAGCCAGGAGGTTGTCTCTAGGTAACAATAAACACTGCAAGCAAGGAGCAGCTGTTACACTTACTCTCTCTGCATCACAATGCTGAAATAACACTAATAAACCAGTGTGCCCAATGCACAGGCATACACGCAGTAAGGGCCAGGGCCCCATGGTATCACCAGGGCTGCCCTCTGCTTCAGGTCAGGGCCCTTGATGCAGGTGGGCATACCAGTCTTGGCCTGGCTATACTTGCGGGGATGATGAAGACGGATGGGTCCTCCCCACCCCAGCACCATTCGCAGGATCAGGGGGAGTCAGGCTGGAGATCCTGGGGTCAGATCCCATGGAACGAAGCTCAGATGGGAGCTTGGAGAGGAGAGAGAGAATGAGAAGAGTAGGAAACAGACTACTTACCATGTCCTCGCAGACTGGAGGGGATGCGGTGGCCGGGAGTGCAGCTGGCTAATAGGAGGTGAAAGAACAGGGCGCAGGGAAAGAGGCTTGGGAAAGAGAAGGACCAGAGAACATGAGGCTTTGAGGATTCTTTTCTCCTGCGGCTGAGCTCCCAACACCTGCCTACACCCCACCTGGTGCACCCAAGCTCCCCTCACAGTGCCACTTTTATACACAGGGCCAAGGTGATGTGTTGGTTTAGTTCAGCACTGAGCTTTATTATGGGTTTTCTGGCAGGGCCCTGGGCTTCTAACACTGCCAGAGAGAGAATTGGGGGAGTAGGGCTGTCCCATGTCCTTGCACGAAGAGTGGGCTGCGCTGCCTGTTTCCCCCAACCAAAGCTGTCTTTGTATCGCCAGGAGCAGCTATGCAAAGGGCCCCTCACCCTAGCTGGAGAGCAGAGCCGCCAGCACTGGACAGCACAGAAGCAGGCAAATGAGAACTGAGGCTCTGTCCCAGGCACCCTCCTTTGAGCCCTCTTCTCTCTGAGGTTCAAGTATGGGGCCTTTATGGTCATGCATTTGGACCCACTGACACCCCAGATCCTCAACTGTTCCCCTCGCACAGGCATGAATAGTTCTCCAGGGCCACTTACGGCCTCTTTCTGGGTATGACCTCAAGCACGCAATCCTCTTCTCCCCCTGACTGAGGATGCACGGAGAAGATGCACATCGCTTACCTGGCCTGTGAGGGAGGCAGGAGTCGGCACTTCTGAGATCTGTGGTTCTGCAGCCACTTCCCGGCCTGTACTGATCCTGGTTCAGCCAAGCCAGGTGCCCCTCACTGCTGCTGTCTTGTCCCAGGGGGACAGTACTGACCCCAGGTGCTAATCCTTTCAGGTTCCCATCTTGTAAGTGTCTTTTGGCTTTCTGGGTTGTATGTTTGTTTCGATTTCTAAAAATTTGGTGTCAGCTGGGTACCCAAAAATCTGGGCAACAAACGAGGGCAGGGAAGAGTGGCTGTGTCTGTCTGGAAAGCTCTTCTGGAAGGTGCCCAGGGCACCCAGCTGCCCCAGCACAACGGATGCCCAATGCCCTCTGTGCAGCCAATGGACATAGTAGGGTAGGACTAACTGGCCTCTCTTATTGTCCCCTGGCTGGGGCATTTTTCACTGGCGTGCTCAGCCTGCCCTGCTCTCTTCTCACCCGTTTCCTTCTTTTTCACAGCCAGGGCCTCACCCTGCCCCCAGGATCCTGATGAGACTTCATCCACAGAGCTCAGAGTGAGGAGAAATGGGGGCCAAAAAGGAGCTCCAACAGGGCTGGAGTCCCTTCCCCTGCTGTTTCCAAGAGCCACCTCCACTGCCATGAGTCACTGGGACTTTGGGCTTTGTTAGCTGCCGGTGGCCTGGCCAGTGCCTCCCTTCCATCCAGACAAATATGCACCCAATGGGCTCCAGGGCCCACCATACCCCTACTCTGAGGGCCAGAACCCCATCTTCATCCCTCGGCATCTGCAACACAGACACAAGGAGATGAGTGAGCCAAGGAGTGCGAGACCCCAGCAGTGCTCTGTGTGGGGCAGAGCAGGGTCAGCAGCCAGGGAGAGTGGCACACTCGAGTGCACAGACTTGTCGTGTGTGAGGGTGGAGCAAGAGAGATGGGGGAAAGGCTGCTGTTTCAGGAATCTCCCCCCTGGCTTCCTCTCTGGTCGGTTTCACCTCCCTGACTGCTGATGGACACCAAGGCACGGCCAGCTCAGGCTGGCCCTTCTCTGCCCTCCTTCTCCTCGATGGCTGTGGGCACTCCAGAGGAAGGACCTGCACAGCAACTGCAAGGTGTCAAGGTGGGAGCTGCAGGCATCCAGGTCTCTCCCCAGGCAGTAGGAAGAACTGAAGGGGAAGGAGAAAGAAGTCCCGTTAACGTGAAAACTAAACCCTCGACCGACCCCAGCTTGTCCCTGTCCTCCAGAATGCAGGCACACAGCCTTTGCCTTCCGCTTACTTTGTCTACCCCTCTTCTTTGCAAAGGCTCAGGGGTTTTCTGGACCCCAGAGCTGGTTCCAGGCTCTGACTCCAGGCTGTAGATCTGGCACCGTTGGCTAAACCTTGGGAGAGTGAGGCATCCCTGGTGGGGGTTAGAGAGGTAGGGAGGCTCTGGTCCTTAAAGAAACATGTGGAATCTAGACAGACTGCTTGAAGGGCCTGTTAGCCCTTCCAGTATGCTCCCAGGACCCTGGCACAGTTCTCCCCCCAGTACTCGAGGGTCCTGGAGGCAGAAAGGCGTCCTGTATGGATTCCTCATGTTCTGTCTTGGGGGGATGCGAGTGGGCTCTTCTCATCCCACCGCAGTAAGAGAAGGAGATGACTCAGAGGGTCTAACGGTAGGGCAGGGTGAGGGTGGGGGCACTTAGGCAGGGGCTAAGCTGGGCTCCTAAAATAGATGATAAAACAATTCTGGGGGCACGGGAAAGCTCCCGGTGCCTGGAGAGTATGACAGATTCTAGCAGCATTGCCGTCTAAGCTCTCCATCCTTGCCCCCACCCCAATTTAGCTATGTGAAGCGCAGAGCGAAGAATGTTGAATTGTTCGAGGGAGGAGGCAGCTGTTCAGAAATGCCACTTCTGGCAACCTGACGGAAGAGTCCCTTTCTCCCTCACTCCTTCCCTCCTTAACCCTGGCGTGCGAACAGCGAGGGAAGCAAGGGGTGGACTGGGGCAGCTGGAAACTTGCCCTTCTCGCTAGGATATCCAGGATCCCTGAGCTGGAAGGGAGCTGACTGGGAGCTCCAGGGGGGATACTGCCGAGCCCATCTTCCGGCCCTTGAATCTGAAGTCTCTGCTCTAGGCTTAGATACAAGACCACTCCTCACTACCCTTCTCCAGTGGCTTATGCTGTGGCGGGGAAACCTGTGATAGGATTTTTAAAAAGCTCAATAGTTAGTCTTGACTGGGGGACTGATTTCTTGGTTAAGGAGTTGGGGTAGCTGGTACATTTCCCTCCCTGTAGATCTTAGAGGACATGGCAAAATTCCATGGCAGTGGGAGGCTGTTTGGAAGCAAGAGAATGGATGAGATGAGGGCAGGAAGAGGCTTTGTGAAGGAAATGTGCCCCAGAATGCTCCACAGGGGCTGCACCTGCCCGACTCCCCTAAGTCGTTTCCAGGATGAAGGGGACAGAGGCGTGAGACAACGGAGAGTAACATCTGCCTACCCTGTTCCCTCAACTCTCCCTCCCACACCACCTACCTTCCCTTTCCCTGTCTTCCTGGGAACTCTCCAGATCAGGACCACACAGGAACTCCGGGGCCAGATTCAACGGGGGCTTGGTCTCCATATCTGTGAAACGAAGGGGTCAGGCAAGATGAGCTCCAGACTCCCTTCTCTGCAACAGTCAGAGTCTATGATTCACACCCAGAGGCACCAGGCCTCGCTGGCACGTCATGTGTATCTGTCACCTCCAGGGCACTTATTTTATGTCAAAAGTCAGAAATCTTTCCGCACCCTGCCCTTCTCCTTCTCACCATGGTCCCTAGCTCTTGTCCTGTTCAAGGTCTGCAAAGCTCTGTCCTTACTGTCCTTGGACAATTTCCCAGCGTTCTGGGGACTGGCCCACCCCACAGCCAGGAGCAAGGAAAGAGCCTCCCCTAACATCCTGCCGCAATTGGGGTTCCAGACCTGAGTCCACCAGTGCAGTTCGACCCCTCTTGGAGGTCTTGGCGGTTGGGGGGAAATCCTGGTACCTTTCCCCAGTGCCTCCCCTCCTCCTCCTCCTCCTCACTGCTTTCCATGCCAGAACGCAAAGTGGCCAGTGATTGATGGGCCCGGGTTCCTGGTAACCGCACCCAGTGGCCCAATCCTCATCCCTTACCCAATCCCTCCCCTGTCCCTATTCAGAGATCAGATTGTCTCATGTTGGTCCCTGAGGTCCCATTAATTAAAAATACATCCAATTAAATGGCAGGTGAAAACGTGCTACTGGAGCTCTACACCCCCCTGCCCCAGCTTGGTCTCTCCACCCCCAACCCCCCTTTTAAGGCTCAGCTGTGCTTTGAGCTGAGAGAGAGAGAGAGAGAGGAAGAAAGAGAGAGAGAAGACACGGGGTGGGAATATGGCGGGGGGGCTACTTGAACCTCTGCCAGGGTAGCATGTGCCAGCCTGGGAGGTGGCACCATGCCCTGGTGTCTAATTTCTGGAGGTGTGAGCAGGTTCAGTCAGCTGGGCTCCCACCTCCACTTCCCTTAAAGGGGCAGAGGGCACTCAGAGAGGGTGTGGCAGGCTGGTCTGCCCTCTTGCTGAGCTTGGTGGGTGAAGGGCAGAAGTGGAAATGGGTAGGGGTCTCGGGAAGGGGTGTGATGGTCAAGGGTTGAGAGTCTGAGGCCTCTGTTCCAGGCCTATCTCTGCTCTTCCCCAAACTGGGAAGGAGATAATGAGGAGCCAGCTGGGACTCAGGTGGCAGGGCATGGCCATGCTCCCAAGCCTGCCTGTGCCTACCCTTGCTCCCAGGAAAGCTGAGTGAAGGAGGGAGGGAGCAGCAGATGGGTCAGACATGATAAAAGATACAGAGACTGATGTCCATGTGGGTACCATGTCCCTCAGACTGTACAGACAAGAGGGCCCGGAGGGTCCTGTCCTGTTTGCCCTCTCTCTAAGCAAAAGGAACAGCAGCTGTGTGAAGTCACCATGGTCTGGCTGCCTGGAAGGCTGTGGTGAGGGCACCCCCTTGACGGGCACTGATTGCTCTCATTCTCCTCCATCCTGCCGAGGCGTTGCCAGCATTCAGCCAGGTGAGACACTGGACTCCTGCCTTGAAAGGCACTCTGGCCCCAAAACAAGCAAAGCCAATGGCACTGAGAGCTGCTGGGGGGAAAGAAGGGGTGACTAAGGGTGGCACTTGGAATCCAGACAGGAATGGGGGCTTGGCCAACCCAGGGCCCCCGCCTGGCCTCCTTGGCAGCCTCAGCACCTCCTCACTTCACTTTAACGCTAATTGGAGATTTTAATCTGCGCTGCTGCTCTGCTCGGGGTGCTGGGGGGAGCGCCAGCTGTGCAGTAATTCTAGCAGCACCGACTGTTTAATCAAGCTGTCCTCCTGGGGAGGGGCCCTCAGGCATGGGGGTAGAAAGGAGGAGGAGAGCCTCTGTCATCTCCCTTAGTCTGTTCAGCTGGAAGGGCTTCCTGGAGACTGAGGGTCAACCATGGGGCCCGCATCCCTTCAGGGGCCCTATGGTCACCTGGCATCCCCAGCAGAGCTATTACATGGTCTACAGTGGGCACGGGGTTCACAGGCCAAAGCAGCATCCTGACACCGTTTGGGGTTCAAAGCTCCGGGTTGTCCCGCTGCCACTCAAACCAGGCTGCAAACCTCCACCAGACTGTCCTGGGTTCTGCCGCCCTGTACTGCGGGGAATGATGGGGACTCTCCCAGCATTCAGTCCCCTGCAGCACTTTCTTACTAACGAAGGCACTTCTTAGAATAATTGTAAGAGACTTGTCCCCTGAAAACCAGATCTTCACCTCAGCCTTTCCTAGGCTGGACAGTTCCTGTTGTGGAGGCAAGGGGACAGTACGAGAGCATGCTGGAGAAGCAGCCAGGCAAGGTGTTTAGTGCCTGGAGCTGGGGGGGTTCCACAAGTTCAGCAGGGAGCACCCTGATATGTCAGACTACTAGGGAAGTGCTGAGAGCCCTAGGCCATTTTAAGGAAAAATAAGTTGTACTGATTATTCTGGTCTGGAGCTCCCTGGGAGTGCTTCTGACCCCTATCTCGGGAAAAGGTGCTCCTCACCCCAACTGTCTGCTAAGAGCCAAGAGTTTTAATTGGTCAGCAGCGCCCCCGTGTGGTAGAAACCAAGACTGCAGCTTCCCAACCTGTGTTGGGTGGGGATGGAGGGTGGGGTGGGCTGCGGTGGGGAGGGGAAGGCTGCTTTGCTCCATCAGACATTCTGGTTGACAGACAGGTGGCCGAGTTATAAATGTGGGTACCGTTAAGGTACCCCATGCATTCTTACTGCTCAACTACTTCCAAGGATGTTTCCTACTCCCTAACACCTGCCCTATCCACCCATCCCACCTGCTCCACATCTAACTCAAGGCAGATGCCTACCACCGGAGGGAGCACCTGACCAGAGCTGGCACTTATTTTGGGCCTGCTGCTTGTGCAGTCTGGATTGCAGTCTTGGGAGAGGCACTGCTAACAGAGGAGGCCTAGGGTCAAGAGGATAAGCTGATGTCACTTCCTCTGCCCAGGAGCCAGGGAGGAGTTCTGCCTGCCACCCAGCCAACTCTCCACAGATCCCACAGGAGAGCTGACATCTGTGCTCAAGATAGGGCACACCTAGTAGCTGATTCTGCCAGCCAGTCTCCCCTGTCTTGGGAGATCTGGGGATGAGCAGGGACAGATTCCAGAGCCCAAGATCCTGGTCCTGGGGAATGGGCACCAGGTAAAATAGCTTTCCCTCAAAATCCAGACAGTGTCCCAGGAGGCCAGGCCGCTGGGCAGAATGCACATTTGGGGCTTCAGACTTCTAGTCCCCAAGAGAAGGGCTGCCTGATCACACCTGTCCACTCCAGTGTTAAATATGCCATGTTTACTAGTCTCTTTTGAACAACAACAACAACAAAAAAGATGGACATGCGATATCAGGAAGGGCGCTCTCTACAGATAAGATTGAGAGCTGAGTCACCAAGGTCTTTCTCTTGTCAGATATTTAGCAACAGAAATACTTCCAGAGAGAAATATGACCCTGTTTGGAGTTAGAGGGTAGGGGAAGTAGCACACCTACCAGCGGGCAGGAAGGGTGGGAGTGAGCGCTGGGTGCTGCTGCCTGCCCACTGGGCCCTGGGATGGAGGAAGTGGCTGGCAGGCCTCCACCTCTGGCATCTCACAGTGTTGAGCCAGGCAGAATCTCCCTCTGAACCTGGAAGGGAGCTGGAGAAGTGGGTTAGAGGCAGGGGATGGGAAGCACCAACTTACCTTGCCGAAGAAAAAAGGGCTGGACGACAGTGAAGGAGGCAGGGCTGTGTGGATGGATAGGGTGGTGGATCAGTGGGGAAGCTGTCCTAGAGGCGAGGGCCAGAAGTGACTAAGTAACTGACATCAGCATCCCTCGGTAGAGAAATGCCCATTAACAAACAGGAGGGAAACGACGGCTAGTGCCATCAAAGGGGGTTACCCACTCTAGCCAGAGGGAGACCTTGTTCACGGGAAGGTAGGGCACCAGAACATCAAATAAGAAAGCTAAGGAGGGGCTGGCCCTGCAGCGTAACGGGTAAAGCTGCCGCCTGCAGCACCGGCATCCCATATGGGTGCTGCTTCGAGTCCTGGCTGCCCCACTTCTGATACAGCCCCCTGCTATGGCCTGAGAAAGCAGTAGAAGATGGCTCAAGTTCTTGGGCTCCTGCAGCTCCAGCTGTTGGGGTCATATGGGGAGTGAACCAGCAGATGGAAAGCCTCTCTCTAACTCTGCCTTTCAAAAAATAAATAAATCTTAAAAAAAAACAACTAAACAAACAAAAACAAAAAGCTAAGGAAATTCCTCTGGGAATCTTCAGGAATGAAACTTTCCTGGGACCAGGGCAGCAGGGTTACCTCTTATTAAAGCAAGCCAGTGGTTTCTGCTTGGCCCTCAGTCCCTACCTGGCTTCCAAGTCTGTGGAAGAGACTGACCTGGCTAGGCTCTGGATGAGAGGCGATTGAAGGACATTGCTGAGTTCCTCAGGGGCCATTCCTGTTGCTGCCACCACCTGTAAAGAAGTATGACAGCTCACATTAGACATGAGACAAGGACCTGGATGCCAAAAAGGTCGTTCTCCAGTCTTTCTCCCAGGGAACATGGTGTTGGCAGGTAACAGTGGTGGTGATGGTTCCCATTCCTCCAATTCCTTCAATCCTCAATCCCCCAGGAGGATTTAAATGCACCTTAAGTATGCTGGAAGAAAGAGTCATGGCCGTTCTAAGATTCCTATCCCCAAGGAACTAGCTCCCAGGCTAGTTCCTACACTTAGAGATACTCAGAATAAGTTAGGAAATTCAACAGAAATAGAAGCTAAGAAACCGAGAATTACAAAGGTTAGTATGTTTAGTCCCAGCAGGTGGCTTAGAGGAAGTCACCTGGCTGCGGATCGAATCATTAGATTTGAGGCTCTCTTGTCAAGAACAGCTTTCCCAAGAAGGGCTCCGCGGGGAGAAAACCGAAGGTGCTGAGTATAAAACAGAAAGGTGCATGGGACAGCAGACTGGACACAATTTGGGCAAGCAGAACTAAGCTGTTCCCTGGGCAGGGGCTACTTTGCCTGGGGACCAACATTCCCCTGTGCTATCAGTTAGGGTGTCACGGACAAAATGGAAAGGACCTGCACTGATCCCTGTCTTTGTCATCAGCAGTGTTCACTTTGCCCTCTGACCCCAACCAGCCGCTCTATCTCTAAGCTGCCCATGGGTGCCTTTCTCCCTTTAGGGTTCTGCTTGCAGCTTAGGACTGTTCCCCTCTGCTTGCCAGTGGCTCATCTTAGGTGCTCAAGGGATAAAGTGTGTGAAGGGGCTGTCATGCATGTGGGAGGGGTTCTCAGAGGGGAAGCGAGTCGGGGGACCAGAGGGAAATGACTTCCAGAACCTGCCATGTCCATCAGCCAACTGAGCACTCACTTTAGGGTTTAGGTCGCTGTGGGGTATCTGCCTCATCAGAGAACATGGAGTAACTCAAAAATAAAAATATCCTGGCTTTGGATAGCACAGCGCGCCAGCCGTAGTGGCCATTTGGGGAGTGAACCAACGGAAGGAAGACCTTTCTCTCTCTCTCTCTTACTGTCTATAACTCTGTCTCTGTCTCTCTCTCTCACTGTCTATAACTCTCTCTCTCTCTGTCTCTCTCACTGTCTAACTCTGCCTGGCAAAAAAAAAAAATAAATAAATAAAAATAAAAATAAAAATGGAGAACAGGGGCCTCCCCCCAAACGTGCTGTGATCTCAAGAATATCTCATTTTGCTTTGAGTCCTATCATCCTGTCCCTCATTCAGAGACCCCCTCCTCCCACCTCGATCTTCGAGCAGATGAGAATTTTTCTTTCCCTTTTTCCTTGTCTTCCAATATCGCTGCATTGTAATGAGAAAGAACTGGGCTTGAGATTTCGGGCGGACGCTTCACTGCCCCTGACCTTTTCCTGCTATCCAGCTCCAGAGATGGTGGCAGAATGCTCACTGCGTTTTGGGGTAACTTGAGTGTATTAGGATTTTTGGCCACGGATCCCACTGACTTCCCAATCGACCCGAGCTCCTGTGTCTACATAAAAATTACATTTGTACAATTTGCATGTCACTGAAACATTATTCTTTAAGGTAAAAACACATTAAACATCTATTTTTCCACTAACGATTTTCAAATCCACCTTTCCCCCCTCAATCTCTGTTCCTTGCTCCTCAAAAATCTCACAGTCCTTCCTTGCTTTCCTGAGGCAACTCAGGGCTCTCAGAGCGGGTGACTTTGTGGTTGGGCCCCTATACTCACACAGGCCTCCTGGATCTAGTCCTAGCTGGCTGCCACTAACTTGCTGGGAACTCTGAGTGCGTGAGGCACTCCCCTCTCCTAAGCCTCAGTTTCCTGCTCTGAACTGTGAGGCTGGATTACTGGGACTTCTTTTCTAGCTCTGTACAGGGGAAGGCCCCAGTGTCCTGCCTCAAGGAAGTGAGATATCCCTGCCCTTCAGCCTTCTCCCAGGGACACAGCAGAGAGAAACTCCCCTGAAGATGCTCGCCTTTCTCCTGCAGGTTTAACCAAAGGGACAAGCCAGTCCTGGGAAAAGGCCTTCCTGTAAGTGCCATCCCTCTCCTATCAAGAGGAAAAGAAATTAATTCTAACCCTGAATCTTGAAACTCACACAGGAAGGAGTAGGATAAACATGCCCCACCTCCCTCAGATGCAGTCCTCACTTGGCTTTGCCCTCGTGTAAGTGGTGGCAGCTGATTTAACACTACTGTGTGGACAGGAAGAAGACAGCAAGAACATGTATAAATACATCCACAATGTGGACATGAACGTCCAACCATTGCCAGCGCGCTCACTCCTGCTCGCTCCTACTTAGGCCCTTCCGTGCCTGTAAGAAGCCATGGTGGGAGGGGACACAACATCCTGCTCTTCCCCCTCCCCAAAGTCAGAAAGGAAGACAGTGAGACAGGAGCTACTTGGCTTCCTATAAATTGTTTTGTCCTTCCTCACAGCTGCAATCAGAAGCTAAGGGCTCCCGCAGGCCTTGTTCTGATCTGCTGCAGGCGATGGAGGGTTTTTGAAACCGAGAGGACTTGGCTGCGGCCCCGTTTCAGCTGCCGTTGGGGCTGGCTAATGGGCTCATTCGGGAAGACCCCCGCCTGCCGCACTAAAGAGTCCCCCGCCGGTCCCCTCCTCAGTCCCAACCCAATTAATAAATGGGGGCTCCCACTTTATGGCTTTGGGAGCAGGAACCAGAGATACAAATGACCCCTAGGGAGGGACAGAAAAAGGCCTTCCAAGAATCAAGCCGGAGAATTGTGCATCCACAGGCACATGTTGCCACAGGCTAGTCATACCCCATTTTCAAAGCATTAAAGGGGAAGAAACTGGCAAAACAACAACAACAACAAAACTATTTCCTTCCCAGATTCAGAGTGGGACAGGATTCCTGAAGTCTGTGGGCACAACCCAGCAACAGACTCTGCCCTGCCTGGTTCTCCATCCTGAAAAGGCCAGGGTGCGGGCTACCATCTGGACACACAGCGCACATTCCACTGTTGCCCCGGGGTGGGCCCCCTCGTAGGCTCTGCTGTGCTGAACATAGACATATCCCATCAACTGGCTAATGAAACAAACACTTCTCCCTTAGAAACAAAGCAGCTACCTCGCACCAAGCTTTCATCACCACCAACAGCAAATACGTCTTCTGTAGGCCATCTTTTATCCTTCCCCACACATCCAAGCCACCAGCAAGCCCATTTTCTCTCATGGGCCCACTTCCTTTCTCCTGATCCCCCTCGTCCTACTCTTCCACTGCGTGTCTGACAAGAACAGTAAGATTCTAGTGAGTTTCTCTCCTTCTGTGACCCAGTACAGCTAACAACGTCCTCAGTATCATCACATCTTACGTTCTGCTCTACTGCATTCCGATTCCTCATTCAGGCCCATAGGACTGCTCCTCCAACTTTATTTCCTCCTATTCCTTTCCTGTGCCATCCTTGTTGGTCAATTCACAGCTCTCTGCACAAACACCCAAGTCTTCTTCCATGAGTCCCCTCTCTCTGTTCACTTTCCTCTCTCCTGTACCACATCCTCTATCTTCACTTTCACAGAACTGTTTCTGATCAACTCCACTTTTTTTTCTGATTATTCCTTTACTTTGGCTTCCTCTTCTTAGGGCATGGTTTGATTTTATAAGCTGCATCAATATGCTGACTTCTAGATACCAATTCCCCACTCCCCCCCACCAAGTGTGACCCATCTCACTCATAAGAAGCTTCCTCACGGTGGGATCCTCCCCAAGTTCTCTTCCCCAGAGGCTGTCCTGCACTCAGACTCATGGCTCTGCTAATGATATTACTGCTCCCCAACGAAGCCGCTCTCTTGGGATATTTTACCAAACAACTGCAAGGAGCACAATCTTACTCTCAACTGTTCATTTTCAGGCTGCCACCTGCCCTGAACTTGGCCCCAAGTCTTTGCAAAGTTTTACAAATTCAGTCATATGAGGTCAAAGTGTTACAAAACAAAAACAAGCATAATAACCAGAGGGATTTGTTTATCCTCTGGATTCTAGTATATGATCACTATTTACTTTTGAAGATACTTTAAGATGAATAGCCCCATTTGTTCCCTATTTTTAAGATTAATCCTACATTCTCAGGTCATGACCTGATTTTATAGAATGAAAATCAATCTCAGAGCCAACAGTGAGCTTGTTCCCTACCAGCCATGCCTCAAATTATCATTTTAGAAGGTTTTTAAGAATGGAGAAGTTATTCCTCTCTTTAATCTGTTTGGTGAGCACTTTCTTAGGCTAACCTCATTCTCTGCCACTGACTCCTTACTTTCTCTAGTTCAGCCCTGAGTGGCTGGAGAGCAAAGTGGCCCACCACTCATCTTCATCTCCTACATATTGCTCAGAATAATAAAAGGGATTTGCTTTTTATCCTTTCCAATCCTTAGTATCAATGTGCATAAGCATCAAGATAATAAAAGCAAAACACAGTGAGTGCCTGACACATAGTAGGTACCTAACATTAATTCCCTTTTCTCTTCCTCCCAACATACTAAAGATTTCTCAGCCTTTCCAGGCTTGCTTTTTATTGGCGAGAGATGGTACTGAACTGAACAAATTAATGTCCTTTTGTTCTAACATTCTGTGACTCTAATTCCCATATTCTGGTTTGGTGTTTTTTCTATGCATTTTCCTCACTTGGAACTAAAAGAGGGCTAATGGGTAATACTAGTTCCCAGATTGGCCTAAAATACAAAAAACCACCTGCAGGAAAGTTTTAAGACCAGAAAAATACAAATAACTTTTTATCATGATGTATCCTTGTCATTTACTCCTTACTCTCGTACTAAGTGGATGTCCCCACATAAATTATTTAATATTTTGCTTATATTCTCCAGCTTCCTTAGAGAAAATGCCTTCACAATATCCTGCAGCCTAAGGGGTCTAGGCCCATAGTACAATGCTAAGGGGAATGCCCTGTAATCAAGAAGACGTCTTCACTCACACTAGGGGTCCAGTGGGGT